AACGGCCAAAAGCGCCAACCCACGGTTGTACGGACTACCTAAAATACATAAAGCTGTTGTCCGAATACGCTCCATTGTGAGTGCCGTTAACTGCCCACACATTCTTTGTAGCTAGAGCCAAATTTGCTCCGACAGGCGTAGTCCTTCTTTTGCAAAATGATGGATGTACAATACATCTGAGATTAATGCAAAGGTCGCTCAGATCAAGAATGTACTGGGGCGACTACTCACGGCAAGTAGATGATGAAAAGAAACTTTTAATATTCCTTATCACGTACTATTTCAGTTTAAACAGAAATGTAAGTATGTATTTGACTGGCACACACACGAACCTTATTGGGTAATTAAAACTCACGATGATTCTGATGAGTGCGCCACCAACCACACCGGCCAACGATGAAAAATCCCCTGTTTTCAAGACTTCTAAACCCCCAAGCATGATGCCTCCATGGTGTGGCTTATCTCGGTGATTGTTATGACAACTCTAGCGCCACTCGGGATAGCAGTGTGGTCTCCGTGCTGTTACAGTGGGGAAAGTAAAGTAAAAGAGAGAAATGCAACTCTTCTTCTAGTGTGAAATTCAGTCGTATCCCGTATTTAACTTTTTCGACCTTCGTAAAAAGAGAAAGTATTTAATCAATACAGTTTGGAGACACAAAGGTTAAAAGACATATCGACCAGATCAGATCCTTTCCAGATAATAAACCGCAAAACTGAACCCGAGGCAGAACCTGCACAAGTTGATAATGGGCCAACGTTAAGACGACATCTTTATCATGGCACCATAAAACCCCGATAGCAGGCCCACGAGCCGCACCCGCCATACCAGCTTCACCAATGACGCCATCGACACCAGCAACTCCATTAGTCCCGAGACAGCTGAGACTGCCAGACACATAATCACACAATCAGTGAAAGGGGGAGGAAATGTTGTATATGCACACTAAATTTATTCCTCTGTCGTTGTGTGTGATTTGGCGCTCAACAGTTGGTAGCATGCTACGCACTGGCGCAGTCTCTTGCTTGCAAAATACTCTCTGGTCTGCCATTCTCTTGCTACAGCGAACATGCCTCAGTCTCTCGCCGTCAATCGTTCTCCCCGACGTGTTCCCGAGTGACCATTAATAAGTTGTCGCGCGTTCTTACCTATTATGTATAATTGTGAATACAATAAAAGTTTTATACTTTAACTTTTTCGAATGAATTATTTATCATCCCCAAGAACATAACAGGTGATACTACAAATACAATATTAAAGATAAAGATTTTTTCTTCAATGGAATTTGTTCTTCAGAGACAGGTCCTGAAATAAGGTCATATACAATTTTTCGAGAATATGGGAATTTTCGTGAGAAATTAGGCAGTTAAACTATTTTTTCTCAAAAAACGGCTCCATTCTTTTTTTCAAAAACTGCTCCCATTTTCGACAAACTCTCTAATTTCAAAACGACAACATCGAAAAAATATAATATGAAGATAGAGGTTTTTGTCTTAAATGAAATCTGTTCTAATATAACAGATCTTAAAAAACATTTACATGTACATTTTACTTTCACGTATACGTACGTATATATGAAGTAATATACATTCTAACGCTTGCTTACAGTTCATGGCAGCATCAGACTGAATGCTCAAGTCGAGCTTTGAAATTGTGGCGTCATATCAGTCGCCTTATACAAACGTACCAAATATCAGCCACGTGCATTTCATGCTCATGGACAGCGCTGGCGGGAAGAGACGCCGGGCTGAACAATGGGAAACCTAGGGAGCGGAAGGGAAGGGGTGCCGTGTCGTGGGTGGCCACTTGTGAACCCCGTAGACCACTTGCAGCAAACTTGGAAACCCCGTAGACAGGCGGAAACAGCGAGATGACGCAGTTCCGCCAGCAAGACTGCCATTTACTGTCGCAAAAACAATTGCTTTCCTGCCAGTCAAAGAGAGCGAATTCAGCTACCTGTACATTTCAAATTCTTTATTTATGATTCTATAAAAAAGAATATAGAAAAATTTTGATTTTTTCATTCACATATTTATATTGAAGCAACGATACAATTACTATAATTTTACATGATAGATATGAATGTTAAATTTTTGTATTGTACTATACTTGATCTTTCTGAATAATATGAATTATAGAAATATTTGTTTTCAAAATACGAGTTAAGAATTTATCCATTTTAGAGGGTACACAGTGTATGGAATTAGTTACTTCAGTGGTAGAGGACGCGACTTTCTATCTAATGTTTTTATTTGGTATTATTTTTATATCATGGTTAACATTTATTGTCAAAAATTTAAGTATCTATACTTGTTCCTATGTCATCTTCCTCATTTTCATCACTGGCGTGTCTATATAAAAGCACTTTTCTTGGGTAACTCCAATTTCGGATTATTTTGTGTCATTTTAGCTAGTAGCACCTAATCACAGCCAAATTGTCATTCTTTGAAACAGCAGACTTATACATCTCTATTTAAAATTTCATGTACCTTGTGAATGTTAATCTGTAGTTTTTCGAATTAATCTGTAAAACGCCGGTCTGAATAGTAGTTCAAGAGATGAGAACAAATGAGTTCATTTCGCTTCGAGAAGCCAGAGGTTATGTTTTTCTTGGTAACAGTAACGATCGTTTTCTGTATAATAGAGCACCTGTTATCTTTGACTTCGGAATAAAAGCTGTTATTTTAGGTTCTTTACTACAGCCATTGCCCGCCGATAGCTTTCGTTTTTAGGCCCTGTTTGGTCCAGGTCTTGGGATTGCATGTCTACCTTTATCTATTGGATGTATCATGATGACCAAGTGAACAATTCTAACATAAAATCGATCTATTGAAAATACTTCAAATGAACTTAACGTGTGTTTAAACTCATTTAATTTCCCCGAATCAATGTTCGAAGCACATTATTGCCGCTACGCTGCTAACTCTCACCACCATATCTATCGCGGCAATAAAATTTGGGAGAGTTGGGCGCAATGAGATAGAAGGAAGTGATGGTAGCGAATTTCTCAGTATTGAGCCATCAAAAGTCCCCATTCTCTTCTCTTGTAGGCCACCGTGCGGTCACATCAGCGCTCAGTCTCTCTCAAACATGGCAGGTGATAACAGAGACTCTAAGCACAGCGTAGCGTTCAGCATTCGAAGTCGACCCTCTGTGCATTAGCCGAGGCGTAACAGTTAAATGCAATATTTTCTGTAGCAGCCCTTGCAACTGTCGCCTTTGGGAAAGGTGGCCTTCGCGGCGCCGAGACTTATGCGGAGCGAGGTCGCGAAAGGTCACCTTCCCCAAAAGCAACTATTACGAGGGCTGCTACAGGCAATACTGCAGTTTAATTTAAAATCACAAGTCAGACATTATAATTTTATACTCACAATACTATGAAAACATTAACATATGTATTATATATTACAACATATATCATTGCATTGCTCTTTGTATGATCTATTGTTAGTGAGAAAAATAAATTATTCTATTTAAAAAATCAATGATGATTAAATTTCTCGAAAAATAAAAATATTTCAATCAATATCTTTACACCATATTCCTTGTCCCATGATTCCGCATTGTTGAGCGTTGCATTTCGATATCGTGAACCGTATAGAAGTTATGAGGGTGTCCGATTATTGGTCGGACTTAGGATTTGCATGTACCAATCTTTCTCGTTTCAATGTCTTGCCGTGTGTGTAGGGCCTGCTCTATCTTCTCGATCGGCCAACTGAAGAGTGATCCTTTGAGAAGACCCTAGGCGCTTAGAATTCCAGATTGCGTGGTTCTCTTGTTATTTATCTTTGTTTTCAGTTAAATATTCATTATAATTAATAAACACAACCTCTGTCCAATTAAACTTTGTTGCGCACTTATTAAACATTACTAAATTAGCTTTAGAACATCAATGTTTTTAGTTGATGTATTATTAACATCGATGTCGCATCACTACCCCGAACCTGTTCCACACACAAATTAATTCGCCAATTCGCTATAAATTTTATGCGCATAGTCCATTCGCACACGTTCGCCTGCAGGCATTAAGTGAGAGGCGGCAAAAATATCCAAAGTGCTTACGTCCAAGTTTCACTTTACAACTCGGCAAACGGTGCAGCTAACGACCGAGCTAAGCAAGCATCATGTATCTCAATTTCGAACCTTCAAGTTGGGAATATCAATCTAGAACCTCCAAGGAATGCTCAATCTATAATGCCTCTCCTCAGTCGTCCCTGCTTCAGCAAAACTTCGGTGCACACCCCTCCCCCATTTGCTACGTACTTACAGCTCCCTTCCCTTTCAGTGATCAATCGTAGTTGAAGTTTTAAAGACCACACCATCGTCTCGGTCACTCGTAATCGTTGCTTTAAATTATCTGCGCCAGTCTCGACAGTCCTCTGTCGCGCGACCCCTCCTATCGTTTTTCTGAAAGTGGGTCATAGCCGCCTGCACTTGTTCTCTCTAAAGAGAAACCCTTCGTCAGCGTCGTGTTTTATATCAATTCCCAGTCGATTATCAAGGAACTCGTTTCTTAAATTTAAATTATCGCTTTCTGCGAAGACCGCGCCGTCCTCGGCTGCAAGGGTGACCCCACATCCCTCCATTGAGGGTCAGCGTGCCCTCCAACCACCGACAGTCTTCACAAAAGCCTCCCAACCTTCCCATTTTAGTCACTCTTAGGGGAGATTTTCCATTTTCTGCGTTCTCGGGCCCCTGCCGACCACTGCACGTCTGCAATACATAATATTTCTCCGATTCACTTTATTTTCTAATTCTTATGGTAACATCACAATATCATTGCGCGGACAAAAACAGTTTGGAACATGTATTATATGAGAACTGTACAAGAAACCTTTCAAAAACAATCTCTACAAGAGATAAAAGATGATTTTACACATGTATGGTCTCTCTAAATTTTCTTTCGGGGAAAGGGTGGGAGGAATGTACCCACTACCTTGGCTACACCCACTTAAATAGGTACAAAAAACACGAAAATACATAATAGAATTAGTTTTATTATGCACGAAATGAACACAAAAATACATTACAAACAGCCAACAACTTCAAAATAGTCTCCCAGGGTTTCTCTGTCTAAGGAGAAGGTGTTTAATAATTATCATCATATTTATTAACTCTTTAAATACATAGCATTTAAATCATAGAAAAGTGAAAGTAGAAAAAGCACAGACACTGCCTCACACACTAACCTATCAAAATACAGATTAACAATCAAAAAGTAACTCTGCTTGCATGCGATTCAGTACTGTTTAACAATGTACTGACTGGCATTTTTATTGAATTAAACTATCTAAGAGTTGATTTTAAGTTTTTTTTAAAAATGAATATTTGGAAGAATTCAAAGTCATTTAAAAAAGATACTGAAAAAGTTGTTTCAATCAATTTTCAAACGTGTCTTCAATTTATTTCTTTAAATTAAGACTACAGAAGCCATTACAGTCTTTAATAACATTCTGATCACCAACTCCTCCTCAGAGGTAGTAGCTCATATGCTTTTTAATTTTTGATTGTGATTGAGTTGAGAAACATTTCAAAAACATTATATTGATGTACTATAAAGGAAAGTTTATGTAATGTATTGGGAGAATGTTTGGGAAATAGAACATGAACTGAATACAGTACATTAACATTCACAGACAGGAGTGAAGAAAGAAAGCAAAAACAAAGAACTTATTCAGATTGTATCAATTTATTTTCTTTCTACAATAGCATTACAAATCAAGTGAAGCTGCTGAAATATTTCAGTCATTCTTCCTTGTAGTAAATAGTATTAAAATAAATAAAACAGAATTGTTTTGAGCCACAACAGGGGAACATCTTTTGAAAGTTCACATCTACAAATTTACTGAAAATTCTGATAGATATCCAAGTATGGACTGTAAAAAAATAATGAGATCACATAAAAAAAGGTTATTTTCAGGACACAGGCAACAAATGAATAAGAGATGACCATCACATAAAAACAGATACATGTTAACATGTAACATACTAAGTGAAATTCATCTTCATGAAATTTGTAGATATGAAATTCTGAAAACATGCACCGTAATTGTAGCATTTTCCTACATGTATCACAAATGCACTTCATGTACTAGTATTAATGCATTTTATAAAAACTGATTAAGAACTTTGCTCAAAAATACACTCAACATTTTATTAGATAGAGATATATTTATATTCACATACAATGTAGGAGAACAAGAGCGCCTTCTGGGCTGAATATTGAGGTAATGGCACTTCAAAAAACAATGCTGCCACAATGGAGATAGAACATGTCCTCCAAATAAAATGAAATCTGTATTTCACTTATACACAAGGTATTAATTATAAAAATAATAGGACAGAAACTAATGTAAAGCATCACAGTCAAACTGTGCTTTCAGTTTCACAAAAAAGTGTTTGGGAGAGAAGATGGATTTATTTGTTTTGATTAGATGATTATGAAGTTAAGATACCGTGGCCATATATATTCATGGAAAAAATATTACTTGCTATAACTACATTCATCCTATCTATTTTCTAGAGCAGACAATATTTCTATTACTTCTAGTACTAATTAACTGATATTTGTGGGGAACATGGATTATCCCTGTGGTCATAAAAAATGGAGCAATATATGCTGTTTACTACCACAATGTTATGTCATTTAGGCAGCATCCTAAAAATTCTTATTATCTTGTGATTCATAGTTAAAGTCAAATTTCAACATTCATTTTAAGATTGTTTTTAAGTATCCACACATTCAAGTTTCTTGCTTTAACAGCAAAATTCTTTTCAAACAACAATTACAAAATATACATGTCACAGCACAATATCGTCCTATATGTTAGAGCTTGATAACATGAGATCGTGTTTCAAAAAGATAACAGTATGCATCACATTTCAGTTACGAGTAAATAATTTACTATTTATCTTGAAGATCACTTTTAATAAAATACTACACAACTCTGCTATGCTCTTTGTGACAAAGAAATTTACAATTCTTGAATATATGAAGTCGAGAAATTTGAAGCTAGAGCAGTAACATATCAGAATGATAAATGAATGATTTAAATAGCAATTGGTGTTTCAATTAATAACAAAAAACAATGATACGTTAAAGGTAAGTTATGATACGTTAAAGGTAATATTATCTGTAGTGGCAGTTGCAACTGATGCCAATGACAATTAGGACGGAAAGTCTAATACACACTGAAACAGAAAAGAGGAAAGCATGAATGAATGGAAAATGATGTCTCTAAATCTTCTACTAAGAAATGACAATACCAGGGTGGCCACTCATTTCTTTACACAAATTTCCCTGACTTTCCCCAGTTTTCCAGATAATTTTAAAATGTTTCACAGATAAGATTTGTAGAATATTTCACACTATTAAAAGCAAATATTAAAGTAAGCCTGAAACTAACTTGTCAGCTCTAAGATATCACGATCATAAAATCCAAAAATTAAGAAAACCTCAACAAATAGAATTTGAGCAAAAAATAATCCTGTCCTATTTTTTTAAGAATAATATCTAGCTTTATAAACATCTCATAAATTTCCCTGACAGCTAATGATTCTTTAACAAATTCTCTGATTTATCCATTTTCCAGAAAATGGACACCCTGAATACGAATCACAATCATCCTTGCGCTAAATGCTTAATTTGTCCACAGTACTACAGATAACAGGACCAAATAGCTCCATAAATAAAATTGATATGCCAAGAGTATGATAATGGCCAAGGAATGAATTGTCCAACAATAAATTTCTTTTTCCAAAACAAATCAAAGAAAGTAAAATAACATAATTACTGTGTCACTGTATAATTTCGCAATTATAAATAAGAAAATGGAAAAAGACTGAAGAAATCAGTAATCTTCCAATGAATATAAATATATTGTGGTTGTCTGTCTCTAAATTTTCCAACACAATCTTAGAAAAATATTGCAAAGGTTTTTGAGAATTCAAAATTTGAGATTTGACATCAGGACAGCAGCAAATGTATTTTGTATCCCAGTACATCCAATAAATGTCAACCACAGGATACTACATTCCGTGTAAAGTGGTTTCATTACTGCCATGTAAATAAATTTCATTTGCAGTGAACAAACCCAAAAAGGCAATTTAGACGATTCTCCAAAAGTATTTTAAATTTGTAATAAAATAAAGGATAAGTTCTGGCAGGATGAAAAGACAAGAATTTTTTTACTGTAAGGCATTTCCATTAATAATCAGTATTTCTTAGGGTCCTGATGATCCTTAAGATAGCTCTGGTCACAAAACTACACAGTTTGTGTAAACATCACACGATCATAGGCTAAATACAATTCCAAACTGGGAAGTATAAACTGACCCTGGCTTTTGTGATGCAAAACAGTCCTCAAAAAAGTTATTAATAATTAAAGGTAATTAAAAATTTATTAATTACACATGTAACAAAGACATCGATACCAACTCAAACAAGAATATTAAGTTCTTGGTACCATATTAAAAGGTTTTTGAGAAATGGCAAAAGCAGAATATTTATGTAATTGGAAATAAACAATTAAACGCTGGATAGAAATGAAATGGTCATAATGACTACAAATACCTTATGAAAACAATTACTATTATTGTCTCGAGGTTTTAAAAAAAGGCCCTGAGAACACCGGTCGCTAAATGCACTGATGTATGGCATTCACTAGAAATCCCAGATAGATAGACTGGCCATTGCTTCATATATGATTAACTGCAGCTTATGTATCCAGAATGTTCCAGCTATAAAAATATTTTTCTACTCAACATAAAAATACAAATATGAAACTCAATATGATTATTTGACTGATTTTGAATAATTTTCCTGCACTGAAAACGAAATTTACAAAACAAGACAATCTTAAAAAATTAATCAACACCTCTGACATTTAATGCATGCAGCTTTAGACAAAATGTGAGAAATAAAGCAGTAAACATTACTAAAAAAACTGCGTTAAACAGTTGTAGAAAAACTATCACAGACACGTTTTCCGTATTCACCACAATTTAAGTTTGAAAGTTTGAAGTCTATTCTAATCTTTGTTATCTCTTATCATTCCCCTTTATTTACTAGAGGACTATGAGATGTTTTATCCAAACCTTATCATGATTGCATTCATTTGTATAAAGCTATAGAATGGCACTACAAACTCATTGTTGATGAAAAATGGACTCAGATTGGTGTTTTAACAGTCGCCTTTGAGTTGTGCAGTAATGGACTGGAGGAAGTAACAAAAGAAAGCTGTATAAAACACAGAGTGTAGGTTTTGCACAGTACTGGAATAAATCATGTCAGGAAAGGAATATATGACTAACATTGCAACAAAAAAGAGAGGAGATATGTACATACTCCTGTAACTTCACATAAAACAGATTTTAAAGAAATAATTACCAACATAAAGAGCCAATACATTAAAATTTTGTGGCTTATAATGCTTAAATTATAAAACACACAATTAAATATACATCACAAAGTGATAGCAGAGGACTACAGATAAAACACTTCCTTCCTCAATAGGAAACAAACTAATAAATTTTATGCATTTCACTCCTTCCACATACCTACAAATATCAGTCATTCATTTTAACATAAATTAAAATATTTCAGTGAACTAACAAAGTCTACTACATTGCTTCATTGTATTAACTGTAAATAACAGTTATCATTATGTTTTGTATTCAGATCCTTATGACCAACAGGAAAATGAGCCATCAAAATGCACTCTCAGGGAGTAGAACTTCCGCAATTTCTTCATTGCCTCAGAATTTTTCCGCCTCTTCTCAGTTCCTCTTTCCTCCTCTCAACCATATCAGTGACATATTGAAACTTGCAATAATTAACATGTAAGGATACTGCTTTCATACATCACTACTTCGTGCAAGATTTACAAGAAAATTATAGTAAATGAATTGATCTCAAGAGAATTAATTCTGGAATACAAAATTATATTAACAATATATGATTTACAAATTTTGTCAACTAGATTCAAGACTAAAATGGAGACAAACTTGTTCACTAATGAAGCCTAATTTAATGAATTTACTACTAAAAATTTAGTTATAGATTGTTCAATATGCCAAAGGAGAAAGGTAGAAATGAAAATACATCAAAATTTAAACCACACTTTTTGATGATATACAAACATCAAAATTAAGTTCTAATGCCTGCTTACTTCATATTTCTGCCAACAAAACATACTTAAATTTTTGTTTGACCATGTCATTTTTGCATAAAATTACCTAAGGAAACAAAAACATTTATGAGGTATGCTTGACTGCAGTAATTAATCATAGAACCAAAACCAATATTCAATACATGATTCCTTAAAATGTGAGATGAAGTAAATGAATGTATGAATGTAATGTACATTTAACACAACCAAAATTTACAGATAATGAGAAGCTATAAAGTTTACTACACTGTATGGCCACAGACTAAACTGCACATCATTTATCAAATAATAATAATTACAGTCATAAATTTATTTTCAGTCACCTTCGGAACAATGACATTCCATACTTCACCTACAGCTCAGTACCAAGCCAGGAAACCACATCTAAAGTAACTTTGCTGCCAGTCTGTTTTAGCATGGCAACTGCTGTTGAGTGTTTCACATTTTCCAGGCTGTGACCATCTACAGCAAGCAGTCGATCACCACAACTAAAAGTAAACAAATAACAATAATAAAATTGTCTTGCAAGGCTCAGGCTACTAGGTCTGCTCTGCTACCTAACCATGTTAAATATATAAACATTTTTAAAATATCAAAGATAGAATAGAGAAGGATTTTACTTTAACTTCCGGGGAAACTCAAGATAATTTGCCAAGGAAAATGCAAACTCAAGACATTAAGCAAATAAATAAACCCAGAAAATTCAATAAATAAACCCAGAAAATTCAAATCAGGACAGTGGCTGAAGGCAGAGGATATCAACAAAATAAAAAAAAAACTAAAACTAAATCCAGTAAGTACAATAACGTAACGATACATGGAATTATGGAAAAATTACATAATATGGACAGTGGTACACCGAAGGGAGGGGTTACTTGCGAGTCTTCAACCCCCTCCCTCCCCAGAAGTCAATAACCTATATTAACAGTTTAGCTTTCATTAATTTTCTGTACTAATGAAAGAAATCAATATATCAATTCTTTACATTACAAATATTTACTAAAAGTCAACAATAACAAAATCATTTATATTCTGCAAAAATGAAAAATTCTTAATAAAAAAAAAAACAAAAAACAAAATTGGATGGACAACACCTTATCACCATTTGGGGAAATTTGAGTGCACACGATTATCATAAAAGGGTCCTCACCAGTATTTGTTTCTTCTGCTATCCGTTTGACAAAAGTTACACTCTTCAAATTGACAATTCAAGCACACAACAAAATTGTAAGCAATTCCTCAGGAGGCAAAAATTATTCAAGTATTAGTACAATTATTTTTTTTCCTGACATGTGGAATGACAGAATTAATGGATGTTTAATTATTTATGTAGTTATTTATTTATTAACGTTTGGGTGCGCTCAACTGCTAAGGTATTACTCCCCATGAGAGATTATCTAATGAGTAGATTAAAGCAATAATGAAGATGATGTTAATTATGGAGAATGAGATGCAGGGGAATGGGAGAACCAAAAAAATCCTGCCAAAGGCTCACATTGTTCCAACACTAATAACACATGAACTGGTAAAAGCGGTCTTCTGCCAAGGCAAACTGTGTAGCTGTCTAGCGCTCCCAGATGATAGGAAAACTACAATATGGAGCCCAGCAAAATTTAAAACATTTTTTAGTTTATAAACATTTCTTAGTTAATCTCTAAATTATTTGAAAAGATTATCACAAATAAATTATATTTACTAAATAGCATACTGAATGAAGAACAACAGGGATTTAGGAAAATACGATCTACTGCCTCGAAACTTATTAAGATTGAATATTTGATTGATAACATTGAAAGAAATTCACAAGTAGATGTATACCGATTTAGCCAAGGCTTTTGAAACAGTTGATCATAATATACTGATTGAAAAACTCAATCATTTCTACATTCATGGAGTATTTCTACACTGGTTGAGAAACTACCTCTGACACAGAACTCAAAACGTCAGATATAATTCTTTTATTTCTTGAGACATAAAAGTTTCATCAAGAGTTTCTCAAGGGCACCTTGGACTCCAATTATACATGATTTTTATGACATTAAATCTAAATTGACGAATTGTAAGTTCTTATTATTTAGAGATCTAAATATGTATCTAGAAATTAAATCAATAAAAGATTGTGAAATACTCCAAGACTGCCTATTCTTGGATCAAAAATAGAGCAATATTAGAGCAACTGTATTTTAATCCATCAAATGTAGTGTTATAAGGTACTCAAAATTGAGAAATCAATTTAAATTTCCATCCAAACTTGAAAAGTAAATCCTTGAATCTGTTGAGGAATATATAAAGATCTTGAAGTTGTTTTGGATCCACAACTCCAATTTGATGTACATATTGAATATACAGTGAATAAAACAAATAGAATGTTGGGATTTATTAGAAGAAATTCTATAGAATTTGAGAATATCTCAGCTCATAAAACCCTTTACTTTACTCTTAGATCCACACTCTAGTATGCTTCAACACTTTTGGTCACCTTGATATAAAATTTACAACTATAAAATTGAAAGTATTCAACACAAATTTTTATATATTATAACCTGAAAACTAACATAAAGTGGATAGTACCTGCATTTAATACGAGAAATTGTAAACAATATGCTTTTGAAAAACCTTCAGCGAGAATAAACTTTATCTGTAAATGCTCCTTTGAGACATAGGACTACTATTGTGAACAATTGTAATATAGATATGAATAATGTAACATAAAATCAATTTATATCAAATGGGAAACTTTTTACTTAAATGACTTTACATAGACTATATGAATACTTATTGTAAATTGGACATTTGCGTGTTAACCAACTGATAAATAAATAAAGAAGAGCAATTTTAAAGTATTTTATTGGTTATATAGCTTTTGAAATATATTTAATTCAAGTGTTAAAGTATTTGGATTAGTGGAATAATAATAATAATAATAATAATAATAATAATAATAATAATAATAATAATAACAACTTAAGTGAAAATTATAAAACAAAAATATATAACAACTATTAAATAATTATTTTTTATGTTAATATTAATATTTTGTCCACTTTTGAGTCAATTACCAGTAGAATGGGCCCCATCTGTTGATTGTATAGGGACAGGGTTCTTGAAGTCTACCCCTGCGGATTGAACTTGAACCTCAATGGGAAAAGACAAACATGCTAACCATTATGACACAAGCCTCCCCATATCAATGAATGTATACTAGTGTCCCAAGCCATAAAGATTTTTTTGTTTTTGTGAAATCAGATACACATACCCTTTATATTTTTTCTGTTTGACCTCAGAAACTCAGATAATAAATATTATTGCGATTGAATGAGGATAACCCATGCTGACTTAATGTCAAACATAAGACAGCATCTGGAGGTCGAATTGTAAATTTTCTTTCTATGTCTCCTAAAAATGTATTCTTAAAGATTCCTCAACTTTCATTAGTCATCTCTATCTCTTGGGTCAGTTCAAGTTGGTATTACGCATGCATATTGTCAATTTTGACAACAGCCAGATACTATGTAAGCTTTGCTCTTTAGCACTGTATTTTATCAGGAATGTCACTTTTAGAGTGACCTAGGAAGTTTTTAAAGAGTGGACCATCAGGGCTTGTAATCAGTTAACTGAATTCCATTTCAAACACACTTTTTAACACCAAATTATACCCACAATGACAAACGAATATTAACATTTCCCCTTTAAGTTATTGTTTTAGAAACCCAGGCACCTTTGACACAATCTATATTTGAAGCTGTAGTATCACAACAAAGAAATTACACTTTATCTTCAAGATTCCAGTCAACAATTGCATTCCAAACAGCTTGCGCATGTTCACTTTCTGAAGAGCCTTTCAACCTTCGTACAGCAATAAGTTGTTCTTTATTTCCATATGAAACAGCAATTGGCAAATATTCTTCTTTCCATTTCCAAGCATCTAAAGCAGGCAACAGTTTTCCATCCCAGTGAACAGTCACAATTTCTGGTACCTCAATTTGAAAATTAACTTTTATGGCTTCCACAAGCCCTTTCCATTTCTTCGTGCCAAGTCTTTGAATTGAGTACTTACTTATCGAAAATTCATAATTATTATGCTCGATTACCTCAATGGTAGGTAGATTCAAGAGTATACTCAGAATCTCTCATACTTAACTGACACTTATTAAGCACTGATACTAATTTTGGAGTAATGAATCTTTCCACTTGGCTGTCGTCCAAGCCGTGTGTGATCAGCATTGGAAAATCTGCTTGCAGATCCATATTTTCATTGGAATTAGAAGACGAATTGTTTTTTAACGGTTCATAAGATTGTGTCAAAGTAGTTGACAAGGAGATATAAGACGATTAAGAAGAAGGCGAAGATGACTAAGGAGAAATATAAGACTAATGATCAATTCACCACGCCAAATAATTTGTACACATAGAGGACTTTACCTCTGATGAAGTGCAATATTGTCAAAGAAGATTTTTTTAAATGTGTTTGAGAGGAGAGATTTTTCTTTTCAAATTAAGGACAGAACATTTCAGGGTTTAATTTATTTGAGTTTGTTGCGAATCATTTGAATGTTTTATTTTGTTTATAATAATTCAATGTTGGAGGATTGGGCAAGTCTTTAACACTCAAAAGAGAAAGGTAGTAAATTTGGTCATACTGTTTACTGTTTACTCCATGAACATTTTGAAACAACTGTGGAATCAGCAAAATGAGTATTTTGTCAACAATTATGGGTGTGCTTGTTCAAGATTGTTTCTAATTCACAATGTAATAATTATAACAGAGTAACTGAATTTCCTTACCGAAGTTTGCCATCCCGTGCTGCTGGAGAATCCTGAACAACAAAGAGAATATGGATTGCTTCTGGACCACGAACTGGATCTTCTCCTCCTACAATACTGAATCCAAGACTTGCACCTGGACTCCGATGCAAAATCACAGTCTTTGGGAACTGAAGGCACCTGCACACATTAGACATTATTATTACTTTTATTTCCAGTAAATATCTTGCACATTCACCATACAAATTAAATACACAGCACAAATTAATACAACTTAAAAAATGTATACAGATCTGGAATATGAATTGAATGAAGGAACATAGTGATATAATTTATTTACCATAAACATATGATAAACCAACATTAAGGATTTAAATACAATTGAGAACAATTTTTACAAAATTCATATCTTTCATGAGGGGCATTTTTATGAATAATTATTAAGTTCTGAAGCTCTAAAAGTTAAAAAAAAAAGATATTGGCTTATACCCACTATACAGAGTGACTCATTTCAGAAGTTCCTTTCGAATATCTCCAGCATCACAACAGATATTGTGATGCAGCTTTTGCTAAAACAAATGTCTGCATGGGGCTGATGTATAATATTAAAGTACTCGCTCAAATGTGGCTCCTCAGTAGATATTTTCAAGATAAAAAAGTTTTCTGTATTCCAGTATTATATACAACCCTTTTTCGTACCAGAAATTGTTTATAAAATGACATCTTATGGCACAGTTATAACTTATTTGCTGTTTAAGGCACAAATAATTGTGCCATCACACATTCAACCTATCGCAGTGAATCTGGAGAAGTAGCGGTAAAGTGAATGGCCGACCAAAATTTTTTCACACAGATGTCAAACATCCATGATGTAATAAAGTTGTTTCTAAAAATTAACTTTGATTTTCTAATAAATTTATAATGGTGTTATATGAAAAAATACATATGTAACTTCTTTATCATGTTGCTTTTTTGCATTCATACAAATTTGAAAACTTGCTTCAAACGTTGCTCATTTTTCAAACATGTACTTATGCAATAAAGGTTTACATTATAAACTAGTTGCATAATGTACAATATTTGTGTTTTTCCAAGTTCATAACAAAACTTAATTTTAAATACTGTATACTGCAGTTGCCTGGCTCATCATTTACTGCATGGAAGATACACAAACTAATATTGACCTTACACATTTTTTATTTCATTACAAAATTAGGCATAATTGTTATCATTTTGATGAATCAAGGAGTAGCAATTCATGTAAATGCCGAAGAGAAATTATAGTAATTCACAGCAATTTATCAATATCATATTATCATAGGAGCATTGAAATATGTGGCAATTGTGAAGGGTCCTACCCCAAGACTAGGAGCTTGATGGAATGGGCCTATGGAACCAGAACTTTGACTATCTATATTATTCACATAAGTTTACATAATTACATCTAATTTACTTAAACTGTAACAATAAAATCCAAAAATCAACATTTGTTAAATACTGATACGTACCCACTGTGTAACTTTAAAAGTATTTGTTCTATTAAAAACCTGAACTTCACCACTGATTTTCTACCTCAAAAATTAATACCTTTTTATATGACTTTTGTCTACTTCAATCTTTTCTATACTACATTAGTTTTTGATAGGAATTAGAATTAGGTGATAAATGCAGAAATCTCAGAGAAAGCACTCTTAAACAGTTCCCCCACCTCCTGCTCACCCCCATACTCCAGGATTTTCAGTAGATGTACAGTAGTTACCAATGAACAACCATACTAAATACCAAAACCCTAGAATTTATTTCACTCAATTGTTTTATTTTCACTGGATTGGGTTATAATTAGATGAGAGTTCCACAATATTAAACAGTGCAAACCCTTTTGAGTGATGTTAGAATTTCCAAATTCCCCTCCATAAAAACTTAACAATCATCATTATCATTACTATTTCCTTTATGCACAATGTCAGTTCTTATATGTCGATAGAATAGGAAACATGCTCCAGAATAACAGCACAAAGAATGACATAGTGATCCTTGATGTGCTCCACTCTCAACATATGTTACAGGAAATCAATGAGATCCAGTTTCAACTCTATATATCCTGTTTCAGAAAAAGTATTTTCCCTTTTTCAATAATTCGCTTCTAAAGCCTAAGAGTTTGAATTTTCCAAATAACATTTTGTGTAAAACGCTATTGGCCGCTTTTTCAAAGTTAAGATATAATTTCCACATATTTTCTACCTAGAGCCAAATACAAGTTCCTCAAACTCTCCAAATGCATTGGTGGACATATGGAGTGGTTTCAAATTAAAGTAATGGGTTAAGCTGTGGTAATCCACATACTAGTCCCTTTCCCTTCTCCTGCTTTGAAATGCTACAGTACCCAACTCACTATATGAAAATTACCAACGACAAGTCAAGGGGCTAGTTAGACCATTGCATTTTTAACAATGCTGCAAAGTCGATATTATAGTAATTAAAAATGTTCATTATCATTATTTAAAAAAAATTACAGTTATTCTGAAAGAATGTAACATTTACTTACCTTGGTAGTTTCTGCCAGTACAACCATGAAGGAATAAAATTAAGGGAGCCAGTGGATGTTTCAGGACCTTCCAATACGCCAAGAAATACTTGAGTTTTTTCAACGGTAGCTTTCAATGTAGCAACTGCTTGGGTATGGGTGAGTCCCATCAAACTTGTACCATTTACATTGAGAAGTATATCACCTTTCTGGAAAATAAATATTTTCTTGGTAGGGTTCTAAATAATATTTATAATATTAATAAAATAATTATATACTGTAGTTAACTCACCCAAATCTGTTGTGTGCGACCAACACAACCTTGAGGATGGATATTAGCAATATAAATAGGAATATCTCCTTCATTACTTCCAATGCCACCGCCTATTCTCATCCCCAGGCTTTCATTTGGTTCCTACAAACAGACAGAGAATTAGTATGCATTTTCTTTCAAAATAAGAACATATATTTTAAAACACTTAAATTTATGGATTTATGCTACTGTTTTATCCACATGTTCACATAACACTCTTTTCTTATTTTTATTTATTCTCCTTTAAAAAAACTTTAGTCCTTTTCTGAACACCACCAGGTCTGAAATCATATGCTGAAATATATTCAAAATTTGTAATTTGCCTACAGGCTGTTTTAAATGAATTTCATTTTTTCCCCACTCTAGGGCATCTTTGAGTAATCTTCATGAGTATTTTATATAATGTTAACCACACAGGGACACTGCAACAAAATATTGATGCTACTATTCAACACACATTTCTCACCTTGTTTATGGTAACCAATTTCTGCTGTAAGTGAAGACCATCAAGCTGCAAATTATATTTGTTGCTTACAGTTTCATCAGTACTTTCTTTTGTGCTGCTTATTCTAGGCACGGGAATATCTGAACCATTTGGAGAAGACATGTAATGAATTCCATCAGCTCCTAAATTAGACACCCTTTGCAAGGAATCGCACGACTGACTGTGAGACCTTTCACTATATATAGGTTTTGGTATGTTCATATTTCTATCTACAGTATCATGAGGAAGTTTAGCTCTTTCTGAAGGAGAGAAGTATGATTCATCAGAAGTTGTTGCATTTGGAGATGGATGAAAACTTGCGCCAAGAGCTTCAGGTGCAGACTTTGTTCTCCCATGGCACACAGGCACAGCAAATGAATTGTGATTAAGTTTCTTCCGAGCAACAACCAAAGTTACTTTCTCGTTTATCTACAAAATACACATAAGCATCACAGTATGAGATTATCATTTATGTTAATGAATCTAAGCATTATTTGATTAAATGAGGAATACCTGAATAAGCCTTGAAGCATGATCTAATCGACGACTTGTGACATCTTCACCATTGACTGATAAAATTCGGTCATAGGGTTCTAACTGTCCACTCAAAGCTGCGGGACTTCCGGGAATCACCTCAAGAATAAAAATACCCTGCTCCATCCACCAGCCACTCAGTCTCACTCCAAGTTGCTGATTGCTTTGTCGCTCCAAAGTAACCATGTGCACCTCTGAAACAATTGAAGAGCTGTCAGCTGTATCTACAATCACCCATTAAGGTCATGCATTGAAAGACGTTATCACACATTTACTTTGCATTTGACAGACATCTGGGAACTAGTGGGGGAACATTGCAAAAATATGAAAGTTGCTCTGAGAGACACAACATACTTTCAAAACAAATGATGAGAATAACCATTCTATTATTTGGAAAGATATTAAGATATTAGACTTTGAATCCAATTAACACAAGAGATTAATATCAAACATGATTTTCATTAACAAATAGAATTCAGTAAAGAACAAACAAGTAGACTCAGACATTTTAACCCATTTTTGCGGCAGAATTATTGATATATCTTTTTATCCATAAGGTTCACTCTTCTTTAGCTTATCTTTAAGCCAGTTCTTTGAGCATCCTAGATGGTTCCCAATTTACAAAGTATATTCTAAACTCCTTTCTCAAGTTAATTCTTGTTTTCTTGTGTTCACTGATGTCTAATTAAAACTGACGAATGCACAGATGACACTCAAAATGTTTTGTTTCACTCTGGAACATAATTATCTCATCCATTACCATTTTCATTGTTTGTCCTGGTACACTGCAGTTGATCAATTTTATTGTTAAACATTTTAATGATTTGAAACAACAATGGTAAAAAAGGACTAAACATTCAACTGTACCTTCTATATAGTGAGCAGATGAACGAGAGGAATATGATTCTATCTTCTCACGGTACACGCCTAGGCGGAGAACTGGACTCATTTTTCTCAGAGCCTGACACGTCTGAAAAATTGTAACAGGTAATTAATAAGATTCCTATGACAATCGATTGCCACTAATAAGAAAAGAAGATAAAAAGTTGTAATATAAATAGACTACATGAGAAAGTAATAGAATAAGAAATTGCATGAAAGAACACCAAAATTGTTTGCACACAAATAATAATATGCAAGAAGTGCATCACAATGTTTTCCTTTAAATAATGCAAAAAAAAATCACTTTGAGAAATAAATGTTCACTCACCTGACGATGTGTTGCATTTGTCATGTCTACTCCATTTATCTCAACCAGCTGGTCTCCAGGTCTCAAACGACCATCTTGAGACACCAATCCTTCAGCAAATACTTCTTGAACCACTACACATCTCTGTAGGCAAAATAGAGAATATATGATAGACATTAAATATTTACTTTTATTTTCCATAAATATAAAAAGATGTTTATGATGACCAATTCTTGGTATTCTAGTATAAAAAAACACAATAAAAGATTAAATATTCAATTAAATCAAAGATTCAGAATTTATAAGCTCTCGATTTCAATTCTAACGGACATTTCCCAAATTTCCAAACTTGAATTTCTTTTTTTCAGCTTCCATTTACAAATTATTACTTAAAAATTAAATTTAACAGTTTATTAAACAATGTATTGTGTGAACTATTTCGATTAGACATGTTTATTTAAATATTTAATATAATGATCATCATAATAATCCAGAAGCCTTCCTCTTGAGGTAATAATACCTGTGTGCAGGTGCCAAAAAGCACTATCATTTCAAATATGTATGGTACAATGATTAAGAAACCCACATAATTTGTCCAAATAACATACACAAAACACTATACATTGTTTGATTAGAGTCATGTGACGACTTTCAATATTTGTTCAATTTTTTGTTATACAGTTAACCATTCTCTCATTTTATTTTTAATATTTTTTTATATTCAATGTTGATAAATATTATAATACTACTTTACATAAAACAATCTAAACATAAAATGAATAAAAACAACAACAAAAGCTTCTGCTACCCATTGTGACAACAAACCACTAAATGAATGAATTTTTCTCATTAATGTATTTCATTTGGACACTATTTTTCCTTCCATTCTCCTTTTTTGCTGGTATTCCCAAATCCTTAAAGTAAACAGCATAGGCATTTCTGGCATAATTAATCGTGGTTTTAGTGGCAACTTTCGCTACTTCTGAATTTCAAAACTCTTTCCCAAACTTGGCCCTGAGAAAGCACAGTCATGTGCCGGCCCTGAGAATGCACAGTCACTTCTCAGTCATGTTTTCAATAAAGCACTCCTTGTTGATGGAAAATTCTCTTACGACATCAACTTGACTGTGATACCAAATAACCATCATCTTGGGGAATATCCATAGTTTAGCACATCATTCAAAATCTAAATTTACTGCTTTCCAAAACCTATCCAGCCATTCTTCTTTTGAATAATTCTTCAAAATGTGTCTTATAATGACTTTATAGCAGATACTATTTCAATCTCGTGAACATTAATTCCACTAATCCAATGACCAAATCTGAGGTCCAGTACTAGGAGTAATATGAAGTACAAAGAAATCTAGGTATTCAAAATAAATACAAAAATAAAATATACCTTTTGTAAAAAAATAAAATAAATAATGTATGAAATTAATATAAAAAAATTAATAATAAAATATTTACTAACTTAAATAAAATTGTATTTAAAAAAAAAAAATTGTACTAATAAGCATAGGCTTAGTCTCCTTATGCATTAACATTAAACTCCTCTGTTTCTGGACCTACCTACAATGTCAAGTCAATGTCAATGTCAATGTCAAGTGTGCAGAGGTATACAATGGCCTTGTACCATTTAACACATCTTGGGTACCAGAGAAAATAAAGTTTTCTGAGTGAATTTAAAGACAATCTAAGAAAAATTGTTCACTTCACATAACAATACACCTAAGAATTTGTAAAAATATATCATGTATTGTGTATATTTCGTGAATGTTCATTCCCGCCTGAGATATGGCAAAATATTCAGGGAAAATACATCTCATAGCTGCCAGACTTTACGATTACAAAAAAGAATTGTATGAATAATAGTCAAATCCTAACTACGTAATTTTTGTAGGTCTCTCTTTGTTAATTGAGGAATTTTACCAGTACCCTGTCTCTTGATTTACAAATCAGTGGTTATGTCAAAAATGACGAAGTAGTCATACTAATCCAGTGACAACATCAACAGTTCACTACAAAACATTCATATATAATACATGTTCATTAGTTTACAATACTTTGCTAGATGCCATTAAACAATTAAAAACTGGCTTCTTACTGTAATTCAATTGAACTAAGATTGAAAATTTCAATTTTTAGTTGCATACTTCGTTTCACATTATATATTGGACTAGTACAGAAATTAACCTCAAGAAGACTATGTTTATTCTGTTCTTGTGAGGTATCACTTATCAGTTTGGTAGTTTTGTAACAAACAAGATTCAGTTTCAAACACGTCAAATGTTTCCTCATGGACGAAATTAGTTTGGCAAGCCAATTCACATAATATTCAAAACCTACATTATCAACATCTATAACATGTCCAGTAAAATTGGTATTGCTTTTTTGCTTTAAAGCCAAACAAACGAAGGTCCCTAACTTCAAAATTATTACATTCCTGTTTGATCACTAGAGTCCAGATTCTTATGTAATTACATACTTTTGGTCTTTCTATATTCAAGTTCACAACATTGTGATTTTGCCAAATTAGGGTAATCCTAAAATAATATTTATATTTTTACATATTTTGTAGTACATTACTTAGTTTACATAATTTGTAACATGTTTTACTACTCTACCAGTTTTTATTCACCATTTAAATTATGATCATTTACTTTAGTTACTTCAAAATATTTGAAATAAAAAAGTATTGACATTTTCAGCGATTATCATTGTGTATATTTTTCGTGAATGTTCATTCCCGCCTGAGATATGGCAAAATATTCAGGGAAAATACATCTCATAGCTGCCAGACTTTACGATTACAAAAAAGAATTGTATGAATAATAGGCAAATCCTAACTACGTAATTTTTGTAGGTCTCTCTTTATTAATTGAGGAATTTTACCAGTACCCTGTCTCTTGATTTACAAATCACTGGGTTTTGTCAAAAATGATGTAGTAATCATACTAATCCAGTGACAACATCAACAGTTCACTACAAAACATTCACATATAATACATGTCCATTAGTTTACAATACTTTGCTAGATGCCATTAAACGATAAAATTTGAATAAGTTTACGTTCAAGTAAAATCTTTTCTGCTGCACACCTGTTTCTATACAATTAGAGACTATACCGAGCATCCAAAAGGAAAGAATATTAACTTTAACAATGACATTTAATGTATTATTTATCATTTGGACTGTATAATTTTAAACAACCTGTAACAAGTATTGTACTTCAGCTCCTGGGCCAATGACCCCTATCTCGATCAAGTTTTCATCTAGTTTCCCTGATCCTTGAGCAAATCTCTAGATGGCCCCTTGTTTTGCTGCTGGACAGGATTCAGTGGGAAATATAGTTAATCAAATTATCATTCTCCATGTTGTTGCAAAAGGAAGTATTATTCCTTCACGAAAGATATGATAAGCAATAAGAGCCCAAATTTATAACTGATTTATCCTTGGAAAATAGATTTTATTACATCAGAGCGAACAATTTGTTAACTATCCATGTAAAAAACGCTCATTTTTTCTGTATTCGACTAGTATTTGGCTTAGGGAAGGGATCACAGAATTATGAATACTTGTACAGAATTCACTTTTCCCCGTAGCATGTCACACACAGTTTTTAAGTGACGTAAAATAAATAAAAGAGAAAATTCCCGGCCTTCTAGGACGATAGACATCTTATGATCGCCCGTTAACTTTAGCAAAAGGTTACCGAGCGTTAAAGTTGGGTACAACGCAACAGTTCTCTAGCGGATCTTTTAAAGGTGACATTGCGGTTCGAATGGGGCGCGCTGCTACGACAGTGATCGCGTGTGTAGCCAGTGAATAGAGGCTTGTACACACTGACGAGCGGGTACAGGAGCACACAATGTGACCACAGCGCGAGATGACCGCCATCTTGTCCGCATGGCCGTAACCGACAGAACGGCGTCGTCCACAGTATTGGCTCGACTTTGGAACACTGCAACGGGTGTGGTCATCTCTGCGTCAACAGTTCGACGCCGTCTGCTGAGGGCTGGAGTGAGCACGCATTCCACTGCATCAGATTCCTTTGTCCAGAAACCACCAACCCTCAGACAGCAGTGGACACGTAAACGTCTACCCTGGTGTGTTGAGTGGCAAAATGTGCTTTCGAATGAACCGCGCTTCAATTCGTGGTACACCGTTGTTCGACGCTACCACGGTGATCGCAATCTACCAGCCTGCATTGTTCCGCGCCATAGCGGACAATCGCCAAGTGTGCTTGTTTGGGGCGCCATTGGCTACAATGTGCGATCTCGCCACATACGTATTGAGGGCAATCTGAACAGCAACCGCTACATTAGGAAGAGTTTTGAGCCCAAGGTACTGCCCCTCCTGCAAGCAGCTCCATATGCCATATTTCAGCAGCACAATGCGGCGGCGATGGTGTAACGGTTAGCGTATAGGACTGTTATACCAGAGTTCGCGGGTTCAAACCCGATCGTGGATTTTTAAGGGCGAAAAAATCCTTCGTACGTCTTCCTTTGGAGGAGAAGCCGACTGTCCCATGTTAGTAGATTTACTGCATGTAAAAGATCATCAAGCCTAAATGACGCCTCTGAGCTAAATTCAAATCACCTGTTTCGTCGTCCAAGAAATATCAACTTAGTCCGCTAGTAGGCGTAAGAAGCGTAGCGAAATTTGCATGGTCAGACGGAAGAGCGGGTCTGATGGCTTGAGTCTCGCCACGTAAAATAAGGCTTCAATTCAATACAACGCCCGACCTCATGTGGAGAAGTATATGCAAGATTTCTGCGAAGAATGACGGTACCACTGCTTTCCTGGCCTCACGTTCGCATGCCAAAAGCGCCCATTGAACATGTCTGAGATATGATCAGTCGGCAACTTGTCCGTTCCTCCTGCAACCACTGTCGATGCTTTGTGGTCACGTATAGAAACTGCGGGGCAGTGTGTTCTCCAGCAGCATATCCACGCCCTCTCAATCCATGCCACGACGTCTAGAGGTTCTGATGGCAGCGCATGGCGGCTTCACACTGACCTAAATTCTCGAGGTTATGCAGGTTACAGTTCTATAATTCTAATCATTTGTTTATTGTTAATCTCTTGAATAAATTTCAATGCAACGATGTTATCTCCTTGGTATTGTGTCAATTTTCAGAATC